AGACCCTTCGCCCGCACCCCACTCCCCTCCACGCTCCCACTCGCTGCCGACCGACGCTCTGCTCTTAAACAAGACTCTCTCTAAAATCCGCAGAACTTAGTTTTCGTCCCGGAAGCTGCAAGGCATGCTCAACCCAGATTGCTCATGCATCTGGTATACGTCTTTATTCTGTATTAACTTATACCTATTTTTTTATAATTCATACATTAATGTAATTATTTTCGATTATTGTAATTTTAGCTCTAACGATGATTGCTACGTGATCGAAACGGTCATTAGCAAAATAAAAGTTTTCTATACCAGACAACACATTTAACTCCATATTTAATTATTAGAAGGTATCTACTTCATCAGCGATCTTATTAACACTTCAATGTGTAGATCAGTATTTATAAAATAAATATCTTCTTCATACTCAGATGGTTTTTACTTTGCTATTGAAAAGACTTAAAGGTGAAAATAAAAATATCCATTTCATTATGTATTTAGGGTCGAAGACGTTCTGCCATCCATCCATAGATTTGAATATGGTAACCCACTGAAATATTAAATCAAAACGCCTTCAACTTCAAAATAAAAGAGAACATTTATTCTTAATAACAAAAAACTTCGCACAAAATCGTTTGCAAACTGAAAAGAACAATGCAACAGTTAATCAATTCAACAAATTTCAAGAACAATGTCTAGGTTTATCTCCATCATTCAAGTAACTAAAAGTCCTTTCTTTATGTACAATATGTATTTTTTATATGTGCACTTGATTATAGATCAAATATTCTAGTCCCTTTTTCGGCAGTATTGTCCTCAATTAAATTGCCAACATCTCATTGCAGTTCTGTCTTTCAAATTCTTTTCTGCCTTATGCCACTCTGACTAAAATGCTCTTTCGATCATCTTCGTCCTTATTCCAGAAAGTCCATTTTATGTCTGGTTGATGATTCCGCCCCTCTTCTTAGGGCAACCGTCTCCACGACATCGACAATTGCCTGCCTGTGTTTTCATCCCAGCAGGCCATGTATTATCTTAATGCTAAATATGGACGAAATATAGCCTTTAATTTCAACTCTTTACAATATCAATGGTCTATTATGAGTGATTGGAACAATACATTGGTACAATTTGGGAACTACCTCATAACGTCCACTCGCTAACGTGCTTCCACTTAGCACTGACACACCGTAGAGAAGTGGCTTTTTTATCTACTTTTTTTACTACTATTACTTTATTTTTTATTAAGTGAATTTGTTTATCCAGGAACGAAATTTTCAGTGTTTGTAAAGTAATGTGAATGCGGAATCGGATAGAAAATTCGAGGAAGTGTTTGTGCCCAGTTCAGCAGCTACTGTTGATATATAATTCAAAAACAGAATATGAAAAAGGAATAATTCGGTTCAAGTTATTAATACACTATTCCATTTACACGACAAACCTGTGTATTATTTATTCTATTATCTGGCACATTTTAAATATATGTGTTCGAGGTTGGTTCTATTGTATTGCTTTCATTGTAAAGGTTTGATAATTATGACATCCAGATATATCTTTTTTTGCATTTACGCAATTCAGTTATGTTATACTCATAAAGCGTGTCAACTTTTATGATTGTTTTGCGGACCTATTTTTTTTATTCTAGAGACTACATTTATCTCGTTCATAACTTGCAGTACTAGTAACATTTTCAATGTCAGCCATATATTATCTGTCTTTCAAGATTTGATCTCATTTTTCTTTTGTTGTAGTATTCATTTATTTTTATATTCTCACTTGGCAAAATGGCGTTTCTTCTAGTCTATTAGGAATTGTGCCCACTGTGTGTAATATTATATGCAATTATAAGTTTGTAGACCAAGTCACAAACTTTCCTTCATATTTCTACATAGAAAAGTCGAAAAACTATCAAATTATACATCAAGGATTTTATCATTGCTGTATAATTATTAACCAACAGCTTTGGCGTGCGTTTTCCAACGAACGCATACAAAGCCCAAAACCGATGTTAGAGTGCGAGAAGTGTCTCGTGGAGAACGAAGAGATAACACCAGGTGTGAGAAAGAACCCAAAAAGGAAGTACAAGATGTTGGGTGTCAACGATATTGCATAGCAACGTAGCGATGCAACCTGATCAGCCTAGTTATGGAATCCGAGAAAGGGTTGGTGAAAGCTAGGACGGCCCAAGGTATACTCGAGGGGCAAGTCAAACACAATGGACGCAAGAGGTCAGATGTGGGTAAAATCTTGAATAGTGTGTGAAATAGACTATTTAATATTTTTGTCTCGTTTAATTGCAACGGTTCTACGCCGTTGTTAACAAACTTGCAGCAGTATCATCATGATTGCGCACGCATAGTACGGGACCTATATACTTTTTCTCACAGTATAGCACCCGGTCGTCCAAAGTTGGAATCCAATGTGACAGTACTACCAACTTTGAAGCAATGATTCACTTCGAGCAAAGTGCGTTCACAGGAGCAGCTAATCTTGATGACAACGATATTGGCAAAGGCGACACCTCATTCGTTGTCAGCTCTAGAGTCGTGGCCACAAATGTTCAAAAGAAGCTGAAGGAGGCGTCGAGCGCTGAAGAGTAACGTTATCCTGCCGTTATTAGCTCGTAAAGCGCTGTGCGATGCAAGAAATGCCTGAAAACGTAAACAAGACTTTTCAGCGGCGCCACAAAAAGAAGAGCAAAGGCCGCGCCGACGCCCCTGAGGAACGCCACATACGGAAGCGCTCTTTCGCGTTTTGATGGATTGACTCCGAATGTGCCGCCCCGAAATGGTGAGTTAATAATGGAACCGGTTCCTGGAGCGACGTGACAATCGATTTTTCTGAACTTGTGGACAGAACTTCGTCGACAAAATAGTTCGCGGTGAAAATAATTCTCCAAACTGCTAATGTCAATGTTCAAATTTCCCCGAATGTTCTTACCGCGTGATACTAGTGCATATTGATAAAATATACATATGTATTACTGTCGTGTTGCTGCGTGATTTTCCATACATTTTTTTTTTTACCGACTTAAGTTTTACGAAAGTGCTTTGAACACTGAGCCATACGTTTCATATTTCCTGCGTATGTAATAGAAATTAAATTATTAAAAGTAGATATTTACACATTTGTAATTCACGCATTGTGTTTGAGTCCACAAAATAAGCGGCTCTATTATTTTTCCCCGCAAAAATGGTGGAATTGTCCATTGTATGTTCAAAACTCTCTTAGGTATATTGCTGACTTTTCCGCTAATAACATCCGTTTTAAAAGCATCTGGTAGTTGATAAATGTTAGCAATGTTGCAATATATTTCAGTGGTTCCTTGTAATGCACGCTGTTGAAAGAGAATATGTAATTTCCTTAACGCCTCAAGGCAACGTTTTGAATCATGTGCTGTGCGAATAAAAGCAGCGCTCGAAGACGCCGCAAGCATTGTCGTTCGACGGGAAGCCTAACGCAGCCTAGTAAGCATGTCCCGCATGTAAAAGAAAATATTTCAACATACTCGTCAAATAAAATGAGGCGTTTTTAATCGTGTGCTGTGCCAATGAAAGCAGAGCTCGAAGACGCCACAAACAGCGACGTTCGGCGGGAAGCCTAACGCAGCCTAGTAAGCATGTCCAGCATTTAAAAGAGAATATTGCAACATACTCGTCACATAAAATAAGACAAAATCTGTTCGATGACTGGTTTATGAATGAATGACCATTTATTCTTTCATATATTTAACGATTTCAACTTTTCGTTCATCGTGTGGGTGGACTAGTAGTAAGATACAGCTGGCGCTTTACCTCCACTTTGCGCTTGTGGAACAATGAACTCTTGCGATTGAACACGAGTTCGACGTTTGCAGCAGCGCCGTCTAAACTGCAGACCACAATCACTCTCCAATCGAGGTCACGGAGCCAAAGGGAAAAAAAGGTGTTTTTCAAAGGGCAAAAGGCAAAAGGCTCTAGTTGCGCTCGCACTATGGCCAGCGATGCCCCGTCAAAGGACCTGACCCTTCGTCGCTGCCTCACGCCTCTTCGCCCTTCCTCCTCAATTTTCCTTTCCTCCTCTTCCGCTTTACAGTACTGCTCCTCCCGACCTCTTCCTACGCAGAGAAAATATATATTTCTGGTTGAAATTTCGTTTGCGCGAAATACGGTGTCTTCTACTGAACATTTCCCCCTACAACGCCAGAAACCGCCAGCACATTCTTGTTAGGACCTGTTTAAAATTATACTGAAGCATTAAACTAAAGAATATCCTTTGCAATTCTCAATGATTCAAAGAATAATTTCAGAATAACGTTTCCGAATATTAGCAAAACCTTCAACATCAGAGAGTAACTTTACATACGTGACAAAAAAAACTCAAATCTTGATTGGTGAATTAAACATTATGTTGGCAGCTTTAGATACGCACAGAGGTTTCGTTCACACTGGAGCAATCCATACGCAAAGACTGCACCGGGGAAAAGAGCAGCCCTCTTTTAAACGGCGCCGTGCGGGCTGGATGCCGTGAGCGTCTGTCCGCTGCACTCTTTCGCCGGCGACACGCGCCTCGATCCGTCACCCTTCTCCACGTTCTTCGCGTCGCCTCCGTCGCGCCCACACCACTTACGCCACGCCCGCCCACCCACCCATGCACGCCACCACCCTCCCACCCGGCACGCCCACACTACACCCACCCGGCGCCACGTCACCCATCGAACCAGCCCACGTCCACACACCACCGGCATCAATAATATCTTGTTATATCATCACTTCAACTTTTCCTCGAATAAGTGTACTCGTACGCCATCTGATTTATTTCAATTGTTCTTAACGGACAGCGGACTGTAAAATCCTTAACGGTCAACAATAATAATAGTTTTAAGAAAAAAATAAAAATTGCTGAATTAAAAAGTTATTTAAACGCTGGCT